TTTCCATAGCATGTCAAGTTCTTCATCTTGTTTTTCTGAGGCCTCCTTTCAGCTATAGTCCTTTCATTGCCTGATTTTACTTTTCAGAGAACTGATGTTACTGCAGTTGCTCCTACAAACAGGTAGCTAATGCATCAGAGAAAAGAGATTTTTAGCTTAATATCTCACTAATACAATGTAATCATCATTTCATAGCAATGCAGTTTAGAAGTTTTGGTACTGTGAAACTGTGAATTTCCATAGCAAAAGCATTTACTGAAACCAAAGCATCCAAAATTTCTTCAGTAAATTAATCTGCTGTATATTTTCTACCTTTACAGCAGAATCCACATTACAAACCCCACAGTCCTTAAGCCCAAACTACCAAAAAACTATATGAACTCATCAATCCATTAATCTGTAATGTAGCCCTGAACTTTCAAATAATGTCCCCCCCCCAAATGGCAAAGCTGATATAATATTGCATCTGCTCCCCAAAAGTTGTATTTGTTTATTCATGGACATATTGTAAGTTTCAATCACAGTTACAGTGTGAAAAACAGCATTAAAAATAATTTGATGTACAGTTCACTATTAACACACTTCAAATTTTAAGGAAGTCACATTACTTTTTCTGGGGTTTACATGATCAAAGAGTGCTGAAGTTTGTGGGCCCCACCAAGTGTTATCTTTGAATCAGGTCAATAAAGATGTACAATTGCATTAAGTGCCTAATAATTCTTTGTATTCTTAGTGAGTTTCCATTAAGCTTAGCTCTTGAAAAATCTGTAGTACCTTCTATTTTATTTATTTATTTTATTGGATTAATACGACTACCCAACTTGAGCACTGCGACTCAGGTAGCTAACCACAAATTGAAGAAAAGCAAACAAAAAATCAATTCCAGTGAAAAACTATTTATGGAGAACTTTATAATAGCATGAACCTTTTATGAAATTATTTCATACAGCAAATTTTATAAAGAGAAGAAATTGCCCATTATGCTGGGAAAGCTCAACAAGATGTAGAAGCAAATTAAAATTTTGCCATATGGATATGTCAAGTTGACCCTGTTGTCAGTACTGAATTAATTTTAATTTATGATGCATATTGTTCTTCATACTTTATTTTAGAAGTAGAATAAACATTGTATCAATAGGAAATTTTCATTATCAGGTACAGTGGATTTTTTGCAGCTTGTCTGGCTTGAAAAGCAGAAAATATTCTATAATAAGCCAAATATATGATGTGGAAATAGGGGAACAGAAGAACAGTAGAATAATAAGTTGGCATAACTATATTTCTGAAAACAGATGGATCTGAAACATTGCTTATTATTGTGGAATTTGCTGCAAACCCCTCCCCCCCCAGATATCAGCTTGATTTAGAATAGAAAAAAGTAATAAAACAAGAAGAATGTTTACTTTGGCCATTGCTAAGTTTTTATAAACCACTGACATTATCTGTTACCACGATGCTTCATTGTAAGATCATAAATTGTAAATAACTAGGTACAAGTTTAAATAAAACCACAAGTCCATCAAAGCAGAAAAAAATGAAAGTTTGTACAATATGCTGGTTGACTTCCTTAAATTGGTAACATCATGGTACAAAACAATCAGTACCATCTCTGCTTCTAACACCTCAAAATCACTGCCACACTGGCTACACTTATCCATAGTGTACATATGTAGACATTTATCTAGATCTATATGTATTGAATGTATGACTGTGTCATAGAACAGGGACCATACTATACAGTAAAGAAAGGCAGTTGTGAAACATGTTGCGGATACCCTCACAAAATAGCTAACGTGTAGAGAAAGGAGTCTTACCTATTCAAGAAATGGCTACTGTGACATGGTTTGTCACAAAACTGTCATTGCTTGGGACCAGACTACTTGTGGGACCATCTCTTTCCAGATGTATCTACCTATCCTGTTAGATCTGACAGGAGAGGCATGCTCTGGGTCCTGTGCATTGCAGTGTGTTATTTGGTGGGACCCAGGAAAAGGCCCTTTTCGGTTGTGGTGCCCGCCCTCTGGAACATAATTCCCTGGAGATTAGATTTGCTGCATCCCTGCTGGCATTTCATAAGGCCTTGAAGGCCCCGGGTGTGTGCTTGAGCCCTTATCTTGGTTGTGTTAATTGTTGTTGGTTGGTTTTTATCTCGGTTGCTGAATATGTCATTAGTTTACATTTTTCTCTTATTTCTAACCATTGTTAGCTGCCCAGAGTCACATATCTGAGATGGGCAACTGTATAAATGGAATGAATGAATAAATAAATAAATAAATGTTTACTCAAAGGCAAGCTGGTAAAGTTGCTGCCTGCTACCCTTTCTAACTGCTTGGAAAGCTCTGTAATATTCTAGTTTAATTGGTATATGTAAATAAAGATGATCTGGTAGATCATCTTTGCTTTGTGGTGTAACAGCTTTTTCATTTTTTTAAATTAAGAAAATTAAAAACAAATCACCAGTTGGGGGAGATGGGTGGCATACAAGTTTAATAAATAAATACATAAATAAATTTAGGGCTCCCTATTCTTCCTGTATGACATGCCTGTGCCCTTGACACATATGAACTATTGAATAGATTATTTAATATGCAATGCCAATAGGATATTTCTACAATAAAAGACAAAGCAATGCATAATAATAAGAAGATATAATAAAGTATAAAATAATAATAAAACAAGATATAATAAAATAATAATACCAAGAAGAAAGGAAAGGCACTTCAAGTATTCTAAGGACTTGCCCAAAAAACCAATATCCATCAACCCCCTCCCCCCCAAAATAAAGGGAACAAAGAAGAACTAAATTTTGAGGATTCTCCTTTATACTTTTTAGTTCCAGGTATCACTTTTACTCTGAAAGATCAGTGGGCCTGAGTAGACACTTACAACTCTGAAGATCAAACAACACTTTCGCTTGCATCCCCCCTCCCCACCCTCCCCCAGGAAGCCATCAACAGAACACCTTATTTGATTTGGGCCTTTCATTCTGCAGACTTGAAAGACAATATGGACGGTTGGGTCCTGAGTTTCCAGAGCAGAATCTGACCATGAGAGGACTACCTGGACGCTCATGTCCAGAGGTAAGTAACTATTCCTTCTAGATAATCGTTTGGGGCTTGTTTGCTTGGCTACTGCCATCGTTGGGATTCTGTGTCCTGAGGCAGAAGCGCATTTGAGCTGGAAAGGGCCACGGTGAGCTGGCGAGCTTGCTCCTTTCTTTCAGACAGCTGCATTTACTTTCCCCTCCTCATCCTTTCTCCAGTTCTCCTCCTAGAATATTATCCTCAGCCAGTCTAGTCATGCTTGAGAACCAGGGACATTGCGAGTCCTTTTTATGTTGTACTTCTCGGGCACACCTTTTCTTTTTGGTCGAATTTTCTCCCGTGTCAGTCTAAAGGGAGACAAAGGCGAGCTCCGAAGGAACAGGCAAACACGCTGATCCTTCTTCCCACCTCGCCAGAGCTGGGAGAAGGAGTCCGGCATTTGCACAGCTTTTGTGAGGTTTACGGTTACAAATTCACCTCCGTAAGGCGACGTGTCAAAGGAAAAAAAAGGGGGCAGGAGGCAGCCTCGAGTCGTCTAGTCAATCTAATTCAAGCCCGCGGGCTGTAAATGAGCCACGTGGAGCCTTTGCTCTGGAGGTGACTTCCTGCTTGGCCTGAAACATTAGCAAGGAAAGCAGAAGGAACGACAGACACAGCGCATTTAAAGAGGACAGGAAAAAAACAGGCACAGCGTAGTCGGGGAGAGGAGCAGAAAAAAGTTTGCGCTTTTGCAGGAAGGGAAGCGGGCGCACAGCAAGAGGCCGGGAGGGAGAGGCGGCAACAATCGGAGAAGACTGAGGAAGACCGAGGGAGGAGAGAAGCGGAGCTGCAGGGGAGGCGAGCGAGAGCCAGAGCGGGGCTCGGCGCCAGGCGCCTGCCTGAGAGGGGGAGGAGAGGCGGCCGCAGCAGCAGCAGCAGCACAAGGAGGAGGGAAAGGGGAACCACGCAAAGCTCAGCGCGCAACTGAAGAGCAGCAGCAGCAGTCGCCGGGAGGGG